TATTATTCATTCGAAATTGAATTGATCAACATTTGATCATTAATGATTTCCTTTCCACTTCCGTTAGTCTCATGTGATTAACTATCTTTAGTTTATCAGTCTTATATATTGAGAGAAATGGGATATTTTAATGTATACTACATGCATGTTTAATTACTTCAAATTCCAGGTCCATTTTGTTTTTCTCTGGCTGCTAACATGTTACTGTCATATTGTAAAATAATTCTTTAGAAGAGCAAGGCAACATGCAAAGTTTATTTATTTGAGGATGATGTAGTCAAGCTAATTCATTATATTCCAATAACATGTACATGATACTATATTGTGGTTGGTTTTTTTTTGTTTTTTGTTTTTTTTTATATAAATAACTAATATTTGTAAAAACGCATAACAATTACCATGTTTTTAATTTGGTACTCTAGACGCGCGTTTTGTCTACGTAAGATTTATCAGTTGTGCTCGAAACAAAACAGTTGGAAAGCCAAATCATATACAAATTTTAAGAGCATTACTTACCGAAAATTAGTGTGAAATACAACTAAGGCAATCTATAAAAAGATTAAGAAAAATCTTATTGTTTTGAATAATCAAACATTTTATCAAAAAATGAAAACAACACGCTTCTTCAGGAACGCTCAAAGCCAAATATTTATAAGCCACGGATTTATAAGAACCGAAACAATTGAAGAGTTATATGACCAAAAAGAACCTAAAAAGTAGCCAAATTCATCTAAGGCCAGCTTTGCCTGAGGGAGTTGAAACCTTAGTTTCTTTATAATTTCAAAATTAATAAACGGAAATTTAAGAATGGATTGCAATCAATGAAGTAATGTAATCAATTTAAAGATATTATCGAATTTTTATTGTAGTATGTGTTATAAATCATTTTAACAGCACTGGGTCGATACCTCTGCTGGTGGGCTATCAGTCCCCGAGGGTATCATCAGCTCAGTAGTCAGTACCGTTGTGCTGCTCATGATTCTTACTACAAAGTAAATTTACAGAAATTGAAAATATCGGTGATATTTCAAGTCAGCATAAAGCACAAAAATGCCGACTACTTGGCTGGTGATATTATCGGGGACAAAACGTACACCAGCAATGGCGTCGACCAAGTAGTTGTAAAAACTCACCAAAGATAAACACAAAACGCGTGTTTCGTCTCCATAAGACTTATCAGTGGCACTCGAATTAAAACAGTTGGAAAGCTATATCAAATACAAAGTTGAAGAGCATAAATAGCCGAATATTGCTGCTGGTATTGAAGATTTGTGAATTTTTGAGGTATTGAACTTTTAAAAAAAAAAGATATTCGGTACAGAATATTACCTCTACTTCAAATATAAAAGGAATACAAAAGGTATAGTAAATGGGAATTTATTGTGACGGTACAAATAGCATTAAGAACACATACTACAATAAAAATTCTAGAATATCTTTAAATTGATTACATAACTACTTTTGTTCTGTCAACTGTCTTCTATTCAAGTATTAGGAAATCTTAACATCATACATTTTTGTACCATATCAGCTATGCATGTACGGCTTTTGGTGAATATAATAGAGCAAGTAAAAATCGAAATCAAAACATTGACAAAAATACGACAAATTAAGAAAGGACAAAATTATGATATCTTTTAAACTAGGGTTATTGCATGTGATCCGTAGGAGGAAGTGAATCTTGCTCCACTATTTGCAACCGTTGTGTTGCTCATGATTCTAATTACTAATTTGGGGATAAACATATTAGATTATCTCTCACGGGACGGGATTGTGGCGCTAAAATTGCTGATTTGTGACAAAGATACTCTTAAACGGTCATTCAACTCACGATGGCATCCGTACATATTTCTTAGGGATACCTTAACATGCTTAACTAATCTATTACATTTCAGAAGAATTATTCACATGAAAAGATAATCTTTTCACTTGATTTATATCTAACATTCTGTTTCAAATATTCCTCTGATGTTTAATCGATGAATTCGGTTTGAAAATCAATTATTGATGAAATATTTGCATATATTATTTTATACCGTCCTTAAAAAGATCGGGTAAACTTAGCATTTTATATGGTAACATGCTGATACAAATGCGAGGAATTTATTTAAAAAATAACAATTCCTTGGCATCCATCAATCTGTTGTTTCGAGAAATAAAACGTAACTGTAACAACTACCGATTGGCGATTTTGAATTCCAAATTGACCCTCATAACTACATGTTCATTTACCGGAATGCATAGGTAAAAAATAACCATCCGTACTGCATCTGTATGTTCTTCTTACACCGTACAAATGACACTGTCATAACACCCGATTTAAACATTGCTTCCCCACTTCTTTAATATACTTTCACAAGAATGATACATGTAGCATGTCAGGTACTTTCAAGAACAACACCAGAAGAACTGTGATATGTTAACAGTTTACTTTGTATAGATACACTATGTATATATGATACTTAATTAAACTAGACATGATAAATCATCGCCACTACTTAGGAATGCCTAACATCGACTACGACTCATAAGCATTTCGGATTTCTTACATGACAATAACGATAAAGTTTTACAATTTGCCAATGTTTTTTGTGTGCGGGGGGGGGGGGGGGGGGGGGGTGGGGAGGGGGGGGGGGTCGTTTTAAATACAGACAGATATCTCTATCGCATAGTTCTTATCCTGTCTGCGGGATTTGGTTTACGTTTGGTCTTATTTGGTTGTATTAGTTCGCCAATGTTTGTATTTACGTGTAATTTTGGATTTCAAATATGTTGGCCTCATGGATCACTGAACAGACATTGATGGAATACGTATTTTGTGTAGTAAAATTGGTACGTACATTGTATACCTTGTATGTTATCAAAAGGGGGAGAACAAAATGCTCTGAAAATAGTCAAAGACGGATTAAAAGCAAACACTAACTCTAATTGAGGATTTTATAAAAAGGTTTGTACAATTTTATGAATCATATTAGCAGCTGTAAGCTTCAAAAATATAATGCTGAACAATACAAAAAAATGTACCGATATAGAAACAAATACTTTCCATTATTTCATTTGTTTCACTAAAAAAGATATAACACAAAGAACATCAAAGACCCCTAATGCAAAAACAAAGTGAGTAAAGCATTTTAGAAACTTAAAAGATTAAAAGTTTTTCGCATGGTTTGTGTTCGTTTTTTGGTGGGATAAGAGTGTCAGGTTCGCTCCTTTTTATACGTAAAAAAATGGACTAGGAATGCAAAGCGGTTAAAGGCAAGTATCACAAGTGTTTGATCATTGGTATTTTGAACTTTTTCAATTAACAAAATTTGTAACATAAGTTCGCCAAGCGGTTTATCAAATAACAACTTGTCGAATGTCTTACTTCAAAACATGATAAGTATTTTCATTTTTCCTTAATGTTCATTGAAACCAGTTAAATTCATTCGAGCATACACCATTTGCAATGAGGTTGTAAGCTCATTAACTACACTATGATATGATTTCCAACTGTTCAAGAAGTTCTCTACTCCCGGATTGTGCTGGGTTTTTTTTGGCTCAGTCTTTACTTCAATGTACTTGTTGATGTTGTATTTCGTAAACTGTTGATTGTCTTTTGGTTTGTTTTTTTTTTTTTCGACTTCAGTTTAAAATGCCTTTGGTATCTTTTGTCTTGTTTTTGCAGATACGCTTTATCCTTACGTCAGACAGTTTAAACCACTAATCACAACCGTTTAAAATTAATTTTGATATTATGATGCAATCACTTAAATGTTGACCCTACATTCGATAAAACATCTTAACGTTGCTGTGTTATTGACAACCTAAATGCATTAGCCAGAGGAGACATGGTTTGATTAATGCATATTAGTTGTAGGATTTACGATAAAAAAGAAATTAATAAAAAAAGATACATTTAGAAAGCAGGATATTCTAATCGTTCCAGAGCACTTGAAATCACTCCCGGTTTTTAAGGAGTTCTTGTAGCTCAATCTTTTTTTTTCTAACGTTCTAATGTTCGAAAATCATTTTTTACTTTTCGAACTTGAATTTTTTATGATTATCTTTGTGTCCAAACCCATATAGCAACTGTCCCTTAAAAGTACTTTTCTTGAGTGAAGCACTATATCCGTACATGTCTTAATCATGGCATTGTTCGCGTCTTCGATGTCTATATGTATCTGCACATGCCGTAGTGCCTTTCATTTAGTGATTACAGAAAGTGTTCTTTTTAAATAGTTGCTTTACTAGGAATTCAGTTTCTATGATGATATCCAGATGTTCTATTTGCATGTCTGCTTGTCATCCTTTTTTAGAATTAAAATGGTATGTCTCATTTTTTTTTTTTTTTTTTTTTGTCTTTATTTTTAATGAATTAGTAAGCTCGTTAATCGCAATATGAATTCTCAACTCTTTTCATTGATTGGTGAGTCAAACCCTTTTCAACTGATTTATGGGTCAATCCCTGTTAGAGTAATTGTAAAAATAAACTCACCTTAGATACCAGGATTAAAATTGTGTAGTCTACAAAAGATTCATTATTTACGCTCGAACCAAAAAAGTCCAAATAAAGTACGAAGTTGAACAGCATCGAGAAAAAACAGCTAAGGTTATCTATTCCTTGGGTAGAAAATCTTTAGTATTTCGAACAAATTATAGTTTTATAAACAGTTATTTTTTTTATTTATGACCATATCAATGATAATTCATGTAAATACATAAATTTATTCTTATGATGTGTTGTAGCATCACTGCCCCGGGTTACAGAAGGGGTTGAAAGATGGTTTAACGCGTTTAATCCACACTATTTGTATGTGCATGTCCTTTATTTATAAAAAAATCATATTTTGCACAAAAACGATTAAATGTACGTTTGAACTTGTTTTTTAAATAGACAGGAAAATAAAAAGAGAAAAATGCATTTTCTTACTGTATTTATATGAAGGAAGTTGTACACAGTGAGTTCGTTATTTACCGTAAAAGGACGTAAAACCGCAAAACCGGATACATGCTGTATAGTTAACATAATTGGAACAGCTGTTAAAGTCACATGCGTTATTATCGTATGTAATAAAACTATAACTTAGGAGAGAATTTGTTTACGACTTTCATAAAATAACGGATACATTTCCTTGTGTAAGTACATTTTCGAGCATACATTTTAAGAGGTTTTAAGCGATAAAAAAGCGTGTAACTTATTTCAAGAAGTGATCATGCACTTCATGTAAACGGTGCTTCGCAAATACTATCGTTAGGATTAAATAGTGAAAAGTAAATGTTAACCAATTTTAATTTTAGTTATTTATTGGCAAATTTCGAAGAATTTCAAAAATTCAGTACACTAAAAACAACAATAAATGTTTTTGTGTTGTGATTTACATTCAAAATTGATACGGAAAGATAAGGAATGTTTTCCTTTGCTCACTTGCAACCAAGTTCCTCAATATATTTTTACAATTATTACGAAGGTTAACTTTCTCTGTGTACAGTGCCTGTCAATAATAAAATATCCACGCAAAGTGTTAAAAGAGCAGGGACTTACAAACAGCTGATCCTTTGGCCTTTCAGACACATAGGTATAATAGGGATTTGTAAGTTAGGAATTAAGTCGCTACTATAGTTTCGAATTATCTGGTTTTACACGAATGCAATTTGATACGAAGATCATACCAAAAAATAATGAAAAATAACATACATGCGTCACTCTCGTAACTGAACAAACAGCCAGTCGAGATAATGTATTACATTTATAGATTACAAGCATGATTTATTGGGTAAACTTATTTCAACAAAAGAAAGTATAACTACTATTGTGAACACTTGTTTTGAATCTCCATCTCTATGTTCTTAACTAAAACGTTTTGAATCTTAATAACATGTTTATTAAACAAATCAAAAACAAAATGTCTACACATTTAAAAACAAAAAATTGTATGTGTGGGTTGTGAATTGTCATGTACAAGTCATTAAACATGATAGGACGTACAAACCAAAAAACATCAATCTTCAAGTACAAATGTATCTGTATTATTGAAGATATATGTTAAATGTAATATGCGTCACACTCGTGTATAAAAATAAAACATGGCAGATAATTCTTTACATGACTGATCTACAGTAACGGTCGCGTTTGATTATGGAAGTATAATTCATTAATAGTACGTTTATAATCGAATGAAGAATCCTTAAGGTTTTATCAATAAAAAAGCTAACGAAGTCGCACAAATCTTAACCAAGAAGTGATTCCGTGCTTATATCTATAATTTATATGAATTAACATATCAAATTTAAATAATTGTTATTAGTTTCATTAAATTTCACATAAAATTATAATTATACAAAATACGTACATATTTTGTAGTGTCGAGCAGAGAATAGAAAAGCACAATGAAAGTTTATGTTTGCTTAGTTGTCTGTCTGTTGTTGGTTTTTATGAAAGGTAAGAAACAAAATATCAACTTTAATATCTGCATTTAACTGTATTTTTTAATTGTAAAGATTTTTTTTTGGCAATTATAAACATTTCAAGTAACAACATAATAGTTGCATATGCAGTTAGTGCTTTTTGATTAATTAATCAAGTCCTTCTCATCTGACTGATACCTCCCTTTCCAGTAGACTTATGAGTCCATCGCTTTCCAACTGACTGATGAATCAATCCCTTTCCAATATACTGATGAGGCAATCGCTTTCCAACTGACAAATGAGAAGACTGAAGAGTCAATCGTTTTCCAAATGACTGATGAGTCAATCCCTTTCAATAGAATGATAAGTAAATCCCTTTCAATAGACCTATGATTCAATCGCTTCCCAACTGTATGATGAATCAATCCCTTTCCAATATACTGAAGAGGCAATCGCTTTCCAACTGACAGAAGAGTTTACCCCTTTCCAATATACTGATGAGTCAATCGCTCTCCAACTGACTGAGGAGTCGATCCCTTTCCAACTGACTGAAGAGTCAATCCCTTTTCAATATACTGATGAGTCAATCGCTTTCCAACTGACTAATGAGTCGATCGCTTTCTAACTGACTGAGGAGTCAATCCCTTTCCAATATGCTGATGAGTCAATCGCTTTCCAACTGACTGATGCGTCAATCCCTTTCCAAAATACTGATGAGTAAATTGCTTTCCAACTTACTAATGAGTCAATTGCTTTCCAACTGACTGACAAGTCAATCCCTTTCCAATTTACTGATCAGTCAATCACTTTTTTCCTGTCTGATGAGTCAATTGCTCTCCAATTGACTGATGAATCAATCCCTTTCCAACTAACCGATTAATCGATATCTTTCAAAGTGATTGTTATAGTTAGAAATTTTTTCTTGTTTATTCACAGGAAATTAAACATGTGATGTTAAGTTAGTTGATCTCTATGTATCTTTTGTAATATAAGTCTATCATGGTTTGCTGTTTCGTTGACGTATAACAATTGTATTCTTATATTTTCGTTTGAAAATATGTAAATTATTTTATTTGGCTTTTACGGGGGGTCTATGTGTGTGAGTGGAATGGAAGGGAGACTGTTCTTCCTGATATCCAACAAAATTCCGCATGAGAGTAGAAAGATACCAGGGTAAACCTGGTAGCAGAATACTTTAGTGTTTTAAGAGCAGCTCATGGTATTTTTCAGAAGTTTATAAATCATCGCTAGAAAGGTTTTGAATATTAGAAACTTCTTAAACACCTTTTCTAAATTTTGATCAAAAACATGCTAAACACAACTTGATTATACAGTCATGCAGAATTAAGCTACATTGCAAAACCTATGTTTTTGATTCAAAGAACGAGATATCAGCATGTATAAAGGTTTACAGGGGTTATACTTATATACTACAGAAGACCAACAATAAAATGAAACAATTGAAAAAAGAAACATTAAAGCATATATAAAAGGAGGTTGTAGACATGCCTGTGTGTGCTGGGGGACTTCTCTTTGTAATGCAGTGTATAGTTATCAACACCGAATATCATGATACTGTTTCTTCTCTAACCTGGTTATAACAGCGTTGTGTTAATTTCCTTTTTGAAGTTACCTTGGTGAATGACGACAAAGATATAACCTTGCCAGGATGCCTAAAATAACAAATACTTAACATATTTTATCATGTTTTTGATTGTGCTTAACAATAATGACATTATTGTTTTTGACATTTATAAGCAAACAACAGCCATTACTTGAAATAAACAAATTTATTTTCCAGTGAACATGGCTAGTAAAAGACTGTCGGAAGACGATGATGGAATTCAAGTAGAGTAAATGATTTCAACATTTCTATTCACTCTTTTTCCGATTTTATTCAGTTAAAATTCTGAAGAATTTGTTTGATTTATTGAATCGGTTCAGTAAGAGAACAATTTATACATAATCATAACATATCAAAAAGAAAGGTATCTTGCGAGAATTTACACCATTGTATAAATAAAAGGAAATATTGGGTATGTATAAATATGACAGCACGAAAAGGACACGCTAAATAGTTTCAGATCAAAATGCAGTCTATAACAATAGGTTTTGTCAATAAGATATGTCTTGTTTAAATCGACATTCTAACACTTTAAAATATAACTTTAATTTGCACATTCACACTTTTTCTAGGCCTGAAAACGGATCTGCGAGAAGTAGGAATGTCCGAGAAATCCCCAATTGGCACTTAGTGCTGCTCGGATCCTACTTGCCATTTGAACGTTCGCATATATTCCGTCAATCATAACTCACAAGGGCCAGCATACCTGAAGAGACAGACTCGAGAAAATATGGTTACTGGAAACAAAGGACTCAAGTTTCTGAAAAAATAAAATTTTAAATTATTGATGTTATTTTCTAACACATTTGCACAGCTTTAATAGAAAACTTTGATTGTACTTGTCTTCATTTCAAAACAGAGAGCCACTAAAATGACTGCAAACAAAATAAAGAGTTAACATATGAAAAAAGAGAAAACACTATTTAGAAGATTTCCTCAGGTGAAAGTGTTTGGATAATATTGATAACTTTCAAATTCATGAATTGGTAGAAGTAGTTAATGGATGAAAGTATTACAGTTCAAATTAGCTACATCCTATATAGTACGACTGCAAATGAAATAACAATCCACCATTCACCAAAGAACGAAAATGTCAACAAATATACACATTTGTACTGTTTTATTGCACTGTCATGTCATATTACCGATCTATCAGCCTATTTTAAGAAATATGGTCTAAAAGGACCGATTGTAATAATCGATGTGACGGGAATAATCGGTTAATTATATGTTTTAACTTTATATAAATAAATGTTGTTTCATTATTCCAAACTAGGAAAGTTAAGTATCTTCTAGAGGCATGCGATGAAAACAAAATATAACTTTTTTTCAATAATGTGGACTGAACATATTTGAATTTAAAGCATGACAAACACAAAATGATTGTAGAATCTAAGATACACACTAAAATTTAAAAATTATTGTTAAATGATTGTTACCCTCTCACTAAAAGACATTTATTAAAGATAAACACTGGTGTTTACAAAATAGAATTTAGTTATACATGTTATACATGTTATAACTTTATTAATTCTCTTAAAAATTGACTTCAGACACGTACAAATATTAAAGCTACTTTTTGGAAATAGATGTAGGTAAAATAAATTTTAAAAATGGTAGTGTTTAATAGAAGAAATCAGAATTATCAAAATATTTACAATGAAGATAAAAAGATTGTGGCAGGAGAGAGAGATGTCATGTTGAAATTAGATATAGTATAATTCAAGCCCTGTCTCAATTATTTTCCATACAACAATATCCGATTTTATTTTTTATTTGGAACAAAGATATTGAGGTACAAACACTATTTTTTTCTATACCAGTATCAAAATTGGATTAAAAGAAGTTATGTTTGCAAAGAGGGGAAAGATACCAAAGGGGTATGCAAACTCATAAATCGAAAACAAACAGACAATGCCATGGCAAAAAACGAAAAACGACGAAAAGATAAACAACAGTACATAAAACACAACATAGAAAATTAAAGAAAGGGTAATACAAACCCCACAAAAAACGTTGTGATCATATGTGTTTCGGAAGGGTAAACATATCCTGCTCCTCATATGTCACCCGTCGTGTTGCTCATGTACGTACTAATCCGATGATAATTCTAAATCGGTAGGTCACATTCGGGGAAAATAGGACAGGATTGTGGTTACTACAGTTGGAACATATCCGTCTTCATCTGTGAAACAGATGTTCCATAACGTTCAACAAACTCGTAAGTTCTTAATCAAAACCTTCAAAATTACAAACACTGTGCATAAATCATTTATTTACATTTAATGTAAAATAGTACATCCAAATAAACCATCATTGCATGTTTACAATACCGGTGCATGTTTATCCGCGAAAAAAACACGGAAATAACGACATTCTAAATTCCGATAAAACGATGTTTACCCATGAACTCATATTGTCCACGAATTTATGACGTACAAAAGAGGGACGAAAGTTAATAGAGGGACAGTCAAACTCATAGATCGAAAACAAACTGACAACGCCATGGCCAAAAATAAAAAGACAAACAGACAAATAAAGTATAGATGACACAACATAGAAAACTAAAAACTAAGCAACACGAACCCCACCAAAAACTGGGGGTGATCTCAGGTGCTCCTGAAGGGTAAGCAGATCCTGCTCCACATTTGGCACCCGTCGTAATGCTTATGTTATTACAAATCCGGTAAATAGTCCAATTCGGTAGGTCACAGTCGTGAAAAGGGAAGGGTATTGTAGTTACAACATTAGGAACATATCCGATATCATCTGTGAAACGGTTATTCCATAACGGTCAACCAACTCGTGATGGCGTCCGTAAAACTTACGAAAGGATGATTTCAAATTCACCATTTGGAACTCTTGGTTTAATAGCTTCCTTGTGAGCAGCAATCCTCTATCGTACAAAACGTATAACGTATAAGTACAAAACGGCTGCCACACAACATTCATCGTGTTCATCCATGCGATGCTTGTATGCACACAACGATGCAGTTAAAGTTTAATAAAACAAAAATCTCTCAACTTCTGCAAAATCATCAAATGAAAATAGCTGTAGTACCAAACAACTACATGTGATGACTTATAATCTTGGTAAGTTTGAAAATTGTTGGTAGAAAAAATCTCATATTCATTATGCTACAATAGGTAAAAATGGTTAAACCCCAAATTGAGAAAAATATTTGTTTGAACATTTGTGTTTCATTTGTCAGGTTGTATAAAGGTTGGATTCAAACTGATGAATAAAAGTGTCTCCGTAAACGTTTATCATAAAAGAACTTATATCGGAGTTGATTAGGTATGTGAATATGTATTGTATATCCATTCTTCAAATCAATGTATACTATCAAAGGACTAATAAATTGCTGAACGTTGTCACGGACACTTGTCTCTTTAACAATTCGGAAACGTAACAAAAAGTATATTAAATTACATCCTTTCAAAGGGTGACTAAATCAAAATATCAAAGTAAATGAAAATGTCTCTGATCTAGAAGAGAGTAAAGAATATAAACTATCCTGGACTACAAACTTTAAACCCGTATCCTTTCTACGTTAACGATAAAATCAGGGGTTAAAATATTATTAATCCTAAACTACGCCGACATTGATCTCAGGGCAATATAAACATTTTGTAACAAACATCAACAACATTATTTTAAAGCAACGGTCGACAAGGTATTTTCCATAAGTTCTGTTTTGTATTCTCGACACAGCTTGGTATGATACATATTGAAAATAGAAATGCAAATATAATTATGTATCCTTTTTTTTTATTATCTATGTTATGAATGTTCTAAATTAGTTTATCCTTTTGTAGTTATCGACTATTTCCGGACATCGATAAAGAAGATGTGATACTAAATATTTTCTTTTAAAAATATTATGTTTTAAAAGGTATAAAATAAATAAACACTTATGTCATCATGTTCAAAAATTTATAGCTTCATACTGTCATGGTTCTACATTTTCGGCAAATTTGTACACATAAGAACGTTCTACCAGAGGTGTTATCTTCAATTTACCGTCTTTAACATTACACGTAAATATTAATGCTAATTATCAAGAACAATTTTACTGTTCATATTAATTATGTAATCTAATATTCCTGTGGTTATCTTATTTCCGGAAATATGTGGATATCATTCAGGACCAACAGGCACTTACGTCTATCTAAGGGAACAAAACTATCGTCCCCTGACTTGTGGGAATAACATTTTACTTTATTTTCAATTATTGTATTCTGTGGTGCATACGCAAAAAGACTTGCATGTATACAAAATTAATAAATGAACGTTGTTGACAAACGCTTCCAGTTCAATGAAAATAACCTCGTATAGATTGCAACTAAAAATGGATGCTACATATATGAATTATATAAAAATATGCCTCAGTACCAGCTGATTGCCATCTTAAGTAGTAAAAATAAGGAACTTGTTTGCTACCAATTTATCAAAAAGAGGTTACCGGAAAACTACTGAGTAGAACAGGCCATCTTCAAGTGTCAAGTCAAAATATACTGGTTACCTATATTACACATTTGGTCAAAGGGATTTAAAATAAATCCCGCTTCATACTGACGTCTGGCTTATCTAACTAAAGATTTGTTATCTTTCACGAGTTTTTATATCAGCGTTCATCAATTGTACTACTTCTACGTTGTCTGTTCTTCTTATAATTGTACTTACTTCCATTAAAATTTCAAGTTTCAATATTGCATTAAAGTCTTTTAAAGTACAGGTGTAAATATATGTTTAAGTATAAAAAATTCGTGTAAAACTGTTTATATACTTTATCATTTAGATACATATGTGAAGTGTAGTAATCTTTCAATCTTATGACTCCGAGGGTTGACTGGTACAAGTATAGAAATGTGGTCATTCCTTTGGATCTCTCTTTTTCCGGTAGTCAAGTCCCTGCTAAAGTGGGGCGTCCGTTTCCCTATGCGGAATGTATATATGTTACAGTGAATTTGTATAATCAGAGATTTTGCATAATTACTAAAATCATTAGTAATTATATATAATCCCTGAAAATGATCAGTGATTTTGAATAATCACTGAAAATTTAAAGAATTATTTTATAAATTTCCTGAAACAATTTCAGGGATTATCAATAATACAAAGATTCGTTGTTTTATAAGAATAAATCAAATTTAGATAAATAAATCATGTGTACTACCCCTTTATGGTTTAAGTGGACAGTTTTCATTCCCTGTCCAGTTATCAAATCGTATTAAAGTGAACAATTGTGCCGATGATATTATATAATTATATAACGGTGTTGAACCACATTAGCTCATAAACAAAAAAAGTATTTTAAATAGAAATTAATAATATCAAGATAAATGCACAGATTATGTAATTTCCTGTAAAACAAAGGGGATGAATATCTTTTTTATGTTTTCTGTGTTCCAAAGAACAAGGAACTCAAACTAAGCAAAGCAACGCAACTTAAGGTACAGAAACACAATCAGAACACATGTTTGGCCGATTGAACACAATTGTGGAGGATGCTGTATTGTTATGATACCGATTCCGCATGTTGATCGTGGAAAAGGAGATCCAAAACATTTATTGGTCATTGTTCATTAAAGGACTGAAAATGGTAATGCCTGGCTAAGAACCACAAAATATTTCTCAGATAGTACTCATTGAATCAATTGAAGTTATTTGATTGACCTTTCTAGCACCTTCAGATGTTTCTGGTGAACACTTTAGCGGTCTTCAACGTGCTGTAAAATCAAATTCAATACTACTATGTGAAAAATAAAGAAGGCTTACAAAAAAACAACCACAAACAGCAGAGCAGTTGTTCAATAGTAGAGGGTCTGGATTGGAGTTACAAATAGAGAATTATTGGCAATAAGAGCAAAATAAAGGGCTCAAAAAAGAAAAGAAAAACAGAAAATAAAAAATAGAATAACATGAATAACGGGATGCTAAAATATACAAAATAGAGAATAATGGAGAAAATAAAAAAAGAATAGAAAAATGATCTTAAAAAAAAAATATAAGGAAATGAGGGATCCCATCCCCTAACCCAGACCCTTATAGTAGATGTCATCTAAATTTACAAATAAATGATTTGTATCAGAATATTGTGCTTTAAATTTTAATATATATGTTCTAAAGATGTTTGAATATGATTTTATAGAATAAATCATTTAACTTTTATTCATTGTCTCTTCATTCCAGTTATAATGTATAATCCCTGACATTTGTTTTAGTGATTATGCATAATTTCTGAAAATTTTAGTGAATATATTTAAAGATTTTCTTCTAACATAAACAAAATATGTATTCGATCTTTCAACTGCACATTGAGAATAGACGTGTTTAGTGTAAAACAATGAAAGTAAAATATAGATCCAGTCAAAATAAGAATCATGCAATCAATCTACCTTATACACTCGTCAACTTAATCGTATAAAAAAAGGATACATTATTTGAATAGGCTTCTGAGACTGATTTCTGATTCATAAATGAAATTGATAATTTATTAATTTCGATCATTCAAAGCGCTTTTTGTGGATTTCCTTTCAACAATCACGCTCATATTCAAACATTTGAAAGCCATGAATGCATAAAAGCTGATGACATGAAGATCTATGTGACAAAAAGGAACTTAAAATATAACCATTTTTTTAAGGGAGATAGAACCTGCGTTTCCATTTCTGTTTTACTTTATTAACGAAGAATTTGGGAGCGGTTTGTTATGCCTGCATATCAAAACGAAGCACTGACAAGTTGATTATACCCTCAAGGTCTAGTAGTCCACCTGCAGTTGAATCGACCAAATGCAAGTAAATAAAAAATAGCACTTTGCCAGATTTACCTTAAACAGGAACGCTGACATCAAGACATTTGATAGTCAAGGATGTACACGTCCTGAACATATTTTATTCTTTATGGCCAAAAGAGGTATAAATTTCAAAAATAACGGGGCTTTCTTTGTCATAAAATATATAAACACTTTTGTTCCTTGATATGCGCTGAAATAATGAAAGCTTAGAATATCTAGTGTGACAATAGTTTTGTGTGCTATTGCAACATTGTGTGTCGTCAAATAGTCGAATTCATATGGGCACCTAAGGCGTAATTTTCAAAGGAAAAAAAGAAAAATTAAAACAATGACAAATTAATTTACACGTTAATGACAATTGTTGATATCTTTATGATGTTCAAAACGGTTGATGATCAAGAGTTTAGTAAACACTTTGAGTATATTTAACTTAAAAGAACTTCAGCAAGATAGATCTTAGATCATTTTCTATCCTGTAATTTTATATTTGAAATTGCAATTACATTGTATAAGAAAAGAGTAATCTTGACTGTACCATCACATACTTCTCCTTTTTAGATGACAATGCTCTCTTGACATATTCCTTGCCGTGTACAGTTTGGTGAGAGTATGTGCTAATGGTGTATAATCTTTCATTGACAAACAAACGTTACTTATAAAAGGTTGCAAATACCACAGTCTTTTGAATACTTTCAAAACAATGTACAGTAGTTATTTGTAAACATGATTTGGCCTCTTAAATATTAGACCCTATTTTTCATCATAACTTTGAATGTCACAAAAAGAACCTATAACATTTATTTAAACTCAGGAAAATTTTCAAATATTTTAACAACAAGGGCTAAATAAAATATACGCCTCCTACTCGTTCGTTCAAAAGTGGATACGGCCTTTTCTGATCCTTTCAAAAAGGCAATCGTTCCTACACGTGCTATCCACAAGAAGAATCGCCGGAATCGCAGAATCGATCCAAGTCTATTACATAAGACATGGGTATGGCATACATCTCCACAACATAGACATTTAGCCGAATTTGTCTGGTTTCTTTCTGGTTCTAATTAAGAATGTGTTGATTTTAATAACCTTTTGCTGAAGTGTCTTCCGACAAAATAATTAAGATGATAGACATGCAATAGAGCGTTATATATTATTTTTATATTTCAAATGCTTATCCATTTGGAAATTAGTGTTTGTAATAACAGTTGTTGAATAATTTGGTATAGTAATATTTTTCTTTCAGAATCAACTAACTAACTTTCACGTATGTTTACCTTTTCTTTCATCACGGACTTTCCCTCGTACATGCGCTGTGCGGTTGTCGCAGTTGTAACGAGAGGTACCGGGATTAAGGTCGCTGCATACATAATAGCTATCGGCGCACTAGAATACGGATAGACGATATTTAATATCAGTATATTTCTGAAGATTTTGAAAGTCCATGTACACGTGTTTTTCAATACAACTCAGCCATTCAAGTATATTTAACATAGTTAACTTTTTTTATGTGGAGTAACATATGACTTACGTTTAGATTAGTCAGAAACGAAAATCTCATATCCTTTAAACACTTAAGCACTTAAGGTAACCTCCGAGATTTTGGGATTCACTTTGACTAATGAGATTGAATTTCTCTTTGGTATCGTCTGATTGCGTTATGGGTATGCATTTTGTTTAAGCATATACCTGACTCATGTTTTGAACTAGACCTGAATAACTTTCAGTGTAATACAATGTCAAATTTATTTATACAAATTAATTCAGTATGTCCTTGTTTGTGGATTTTTATTACTAGTATGAAATAATGGTCCCCGTTGAAGTCAAATTACATTTTAATTTAAACGTGACCATGCTGTGTGTATTTGCATTCATCCAAATAGAATTTGTGAAAACAGTAGCACATCGCACTACCTGAGACTGTTAACTGTATATGAATACTTAACATTAAATTGGTAAGACTTCACATTTTCTGTGAAGGTTACAATAGCTCAGTATTGAAAACAAACCAAAAGTGAGATGAAGCTTTCATCAAAAAAAGAAAAAATGAATAAAATTGATGAGCTCGAAAGGTCATAGCCTATTTCATTAGTGTATGTATGTGAAGTTTTTGCTGCTAAGTTTAGTATCTGGACTTGTTTATTCGTTTAATCAGCTACAACATACAGGTATTAAAACTGACTGACTCCATTGGATTAAAGTTTGGGTTTTTTTTGAAATATTAATAGATATATATATATGTGTCAATCATATATAGGGAGTTTCTAGGATATTACAGTAACTCATATATCCTTAAATTTGAATTTTGTTCAAATGGTTAGTTCTTTCGCATTTTTTGTTTATATACGTCAGTGAACATAAAAAGATATCTCTCATAGAACATAGGAATTTAACATACAGTTTACTGGTATCCATTTAATTCAGTTGCATCCAGATTAAGTGGTCCTTTCTTCTTAACATATTATGAATAATGTTGGATATTCAAATGTATTGACCTATTTATTGCTCATGGTAATTTAAAAACAGATCAAAACACAAAAACTTTGACCAATGAACCATGAAAATGAGGTCAAGGTCAGATGATACTTGCCAGACAGACATATACACCTTGCACTTATTCCATACACCAAATGTAACTAACATTTTGCTCATGGTAATTGAAACACAGAACAAAACACAAAAACTTAACTTTGACCAATGAACCATGAATATTGGGGTCAAGGTCAGATGATACCGGATAGACCGACATGTGCACTTCACAATCATTTCATTCACCAAATATAGTTGACCTATTGCTTACTGTGTCTAATTAAGAAACAGACAATAACACAAATACTTAACATTGCCAAATGAACCATGAAAATTAGTTCAAGGTCATGAAACCTGACAAACTGACATGTTCCCCTTACAATCATTAAATACACCACATAGAGTTGACCTACTGCTTATAGTATCTGAGAAACTGACCTGATCACGTAACTTTAAGCTTGATCACTGATCCATGAAATGCGATCAGGTGAACACATTCTGGCGGACATGTAGACGTTGCAAGGAACCCATATACCAATATAGTTATCCTATCTGTCATAATAAGTAAGAAATTCACATGAAAAAAAAACAGTACTATATTTTTTTTCAAGCAGTCGCTGAACCATACAAATGAGATCAAGGACAATGGACATATGACAGAAGAAAATTTCGTAAGATAAGGTATCTGTATACAAAGTATGAAGCATCAAGGTGTTCTACCTTCTGAAATATAAAACTTTATACAAATAGTTTACACCACCACCGCCGTCGCCGCCTGATATGTTTTCGTCGCAGGCGAGACAAACAATTATCGTTTGTATCAATGCATATTCATCCTATACATTTAATCTTATTTTCAATTAGAATAAAAGTGTTATACTGCGTATTTTGAAATGAATGCAGTTATTTGCGTGCACTGTCCAACATATTGGGTGATTCCAATTCTCAGTTTCATGTATTATATTTTTCACATCTGGTATACGGCCAGCTAAATTGTATAAAGTGATACGTGAAAAGGTACAGGCGAAAAATATAAACGGCCAAGTAGACCGTGTTTAACATATTGAAGATTCGACAAATAAACTCTTTTAATCAAGATTAAACAATAAGACTTTGGTATGCATGTTCGCAACAAGCAACTGATTCATTATTCTACTATAATGGAGTAAACTAGGGCTTTGAAGACCATCTCTTGCTGTCAATACTTCTCTGTGTCGTTGTCCGTCAGGGGAGATAACTACAACATTATTTGATTGGTACCCAACCACGTACACATTACCATCAGTATCTACATCAATACCCAGAGGAGTCTTCAATACGTTTATATTCAGGAATGTCCATTGTATTTTACCTTGTAGATTATAACACGTTACAGTGTTTCTGTCAATGTTTGTATAATATATATTCTCTTTAAGTGTTGCAATGTAACAGTTACTGGGCAGTTTTTCTCGGATAATGTCACTTATAGACTCGTCGAATGGATTGATCATTCGTATACCTTTGTTTTCCGCGGAATAAATCATTTTATTTTCTTTAAGTGCTATGCCAAAGTTATACGAATCCAGTGAAATTGTTTTCCTGATTTGTTTCTTCTCCATGTCAATAATGGTAATAGACTTGTTTGGTGAATAACCAGATGTAACAGCCAATGCATTGTCATCAATGATGAAAACTATAGCATATGGTGTATTCGGCATCTTTACCGTTAATTCGTTTTTTCCTTCAATATTGCATACACTTATTGTGCAGTTAGCGAAGGAAGTATAGGCAATTCTTCCATCCGGTAGTATGCAACATCCGCGGGTGTTTGTTGATTGCAAGTTAATGGTCTTGTGTCTCTTCAGCTTTATACTTTCAATCGATCTCAATTGGATGGTTGGTACCATCATTTGGGCTTGTTTGGCCTTCTTCTTTGTTAGAACGATATCCATGGGTCTAGTTTCAATATGTACTTCTCCAAAACTTTTGATCTCGGACATGATATTCTGAATAGAGCTGTTCATCTTATAGGATAGTAAATGCTGTTCCGATCCTTCTGCAATCGACTGCAGCAGTTTATCTTTGCTATATACGTCTTCTTCTATTTGCCTCAATGAAAGAAACATTTGAAGGTCCGTTGCGTGATGCTTGATGTTCGCAATATTTGCCTGGTAATCGGCTATTTCTTTTTGTGTCTTTTCTAATGATGACAATAACTGACAAATTTTCGACTTTTCTTTTTCTTCAACCGCATACAGTTGTTTTATAAAATCTTTTTGAAGTTCGTCGAGATGGTTGTTGATTTTTAGTCTGATCTTGGTAATTTCGTTTTCAATTTCCTTCCTGCTGTCGATGAAAGTTGACAGGTTTTTTTTATGATACAGGCGGATTTTATTTAGATTTTCTGCTACTTCAACGAATGTTTCCTCTATCTCGCACAGGGCATTGGAGGCTTTGGTATTCTGAATAACGTCATGTAAATCAACGATATCCCGACATTCATTGTGGCTTTCGACAGTACATTTACTGCAACAAGGACTTTCGTGCTTTCGACAATAAATTTGAAACTGTTTGTTGTGTTTGCTACAGTACTGACTAATCTTGAGTACATCCGATGGTAATTTCAGGTATTCAGTAATAAGTATCACCCTATGGTTTTTGGTTCCCTTAGACAAACTATGATGCTCCTGACATTCTGTACATAGTCCCTCATCACATTCTGTACACCAGACTATGGCTGGTTTGTTGGTGTGACGGAGGTCACAAACACCACAACTAAGAGAGGATTTCGCCATAAAACCCAAAACTATGAATAATAAAAAAATTTTAAAATTTTATTATATGAATTATGAAAGTTAAGAATTTATTTTTATTTACATTATATATATCAGCTGATAACGTTTTAGGTTAAATTCAATAATATTTCATGTAAACTAACGAATAGCATGAATAGTAAATGGTGTTCCAAAATCTATAATTTCTATTCCAATGAGAAAAAAATGCAGGACTCCGAAGGAGGTTTTAAACTATATGTAAACATGTTATATACATTTGTAATAGTTTAATCGTCTAGCAGTCATGTATCCAGCTGGTCTAGATAGAGCGGGGCTTATCTTTTCGTTTCTTTTTTTTTCTGTCATTTTTAGGCATTTTTTTCTATTCTTTATATTATAGCACTCATCATTTTCCATGCTTTATTTCATGTCAATTTGTTACTAATCTTTATTTGTTTGCCCATTATTCTCTATTCCATAAACCTCCCCCATATCTACAATCCGAGGCAACGGTAGGTTATAAGAGAAAGGGGAAATTAAATTGAAATATAATTTAAATAATTCTTACGTTAATTCTAATTAATGTACAATAGCAATCCATTTCATATTGTGAAAGTGTAATAGAAAATACATTAATATATATATATCACATTTGATAAAGACATTGACAATGAAGAAGGTAATTTGTTGAGCCAATATAGTTGCCAAAAAGATTTTAAACCTACCTTTTCGTATGATAACATTTTATACTATTATCGTTGCGCATATATATCATGTATATACTATAGTATTATACATGTTATCTATTTATTTGGATATTTTAAGTAATTCTTTTTAATTTTGAAGACACTCAGGAAAAATTAGTTTCAACGATTGGGGTTATCCTCATTAAATTAGAATTATTTGTTTATTTATATATTTTTTAAATGAGTTTATTTTCTGATAAAAATGTATCAAAGTCAATACATGAGCTCAGGTGTAGAGAGGCGTCAATACATCTTCCAAGTTGTAACTTTCCCCAAGTATACTACACGTAAGTGCAAATCAACATGTACTGTATACAAACACATTTCTAGATTTTTGGACTGTTATACTCAAATACTTCCTAGATTGTTAAGCCAACTAATCGTCGTAGTTTGTTGTATGTGGAATTGCAAATTACATTATATAAACAATTTGAAATAAAAATGCAAAAAAAGCCTTCTAACACCAAATAACTTCTTTCGTTGGACGCTTTCAGTCCTTCCTTATTTTAATTTTTGAATTAATTTTGTACAATTACTTTACTCAGCTGAATGTTAAATAACCACAAAAAAACCTTTTCGTTTGTTTTGATTGAAATTTATAAAAATATTATTATTCTTTTATTTGTATTTTCCCATATGACGGTTCGCCTATTACAGAAGTTTTTGCACCTCTCCATCTAAAAGCAAATTTGAAACGTTCCGAATATAACAAACTCGATTTAAAATCAAATATCTGGATGTTTGTTTACAATGAAACAGTTATTAATCTAAGACTAAAAACTGTATAGGTCACTAAATGAGGCTGATTGGTTGTTTCTTTAATGTTCAGTGGCAAATATTTCATACATAATTCAGGACGAGAAGAATTTAAATACAGTTGGTCAACTTTGACCAAACGGTAAAAAGATGGAAATATTTCTTGAATAAGGATAAGGCATACAGGATGCCTTACAAGAATAATGTTCAGCAAAGACCAATATATTAAGGTAAGCTATTAAAGACACCCCTTTTTTTCCGCGTGACGAATTTTCGGTTTACAAAATAACAAAATGCACACTTATTCTTACTGGTTATGTCGATGAAATGTAAATGGTGATACTTTGTTCCCTATCCTATTATGGTCCTCTAGATTTTGAAGTTTTTGTTTTAAAATTTGTACAATTAGTAAAAATAAAATAGCAAATAACTAAATGTCACCGTCTTATTGGGTCGTTTGTTACATTCAGGTATAAGTTTAGTAACCACAGGAAATCTTTTAGATCATTTTGATTGAAAATTTCAATAGTTATTTCTTTTTAAATCTTCATCTAAAAGCAAATTAAAACGTTTCAAATATGAAAATATGAAAAAAAAATGCTTAAAATCAAATATCTGAATGTTTGTTTACAATGAAATATTTATTAGGGCCCCGCCGAATGGCGGCCGCCCTATAGTGATCAGTCTGTCGGTCCGTCTGTCCGTCCGTCTGTCCGTCCGTCTGTCCGTCTGTCCGTCCGTCCGTCCGTAACAAATCGTGTCCGCTCTATATCTAGAGAACCGTTATGATTTCAAAGTTTATACTTGGCATGTATATTAATCAACACCAGAGGGTGTGTCAAAATGTATGTTCAACTTCCTAGGTCAAAGGTCAAGGTCAAAAACTTTGGTTTTAGTTGACAAACCCATGTCCTATGGTAAAGATCGTGTCCGCTCTATATCTTGAGAACCGTTATGATTTCAAAGTTTATACTTGATATGTATATTAACCAACACCAGAGGGTGTGTCATAATGTATGTACAACTTCCTAGGTCAAAGGTCAAGGTCAAAACTTTTGGTTTTAGTTGACAAACCCATGTCCTATGGTAAAGATACAAATATTTTACCACACATTATTCACAGCGGGGCCCACAGAGATGGCTCCCATCTCAATGATACCTAGTTCATCCAATATTAAAAAAATATACAGGTCACGAAATGGAGCTAGTTGATTGATTGTTTATTTAGTATTCAGTGGCAAATATTTCTTGATATACAGGACGACGCTTATTAAAATATTGTATTATTGCAAAGTCGATCAACCTGGATCAAATGGTAGAAAAATTGGAAATACATTTTGAAAAAGATAGATTCTTAACAAAAATAATGTCGAATAAAGACCTTTATCTTATGATAAGCTATTAATCTTCCTCCACCCCAACCACCCCCACTCCCGTAAACCACGGGAGACGAATTTGTGTTGACATGATGAACACAATGCACTCTAATTCTTTCTGGTTATATCGTTGAAATGTAAATCGTGATGATTGCTTTTTTACATTTTTTTCTAACACATTATGAACCCCCAGATTTTGGAGACTTTTTACTAAAATTTGTAAAATTACTTAAAATCCAAAAGCAAATAGATAAATCGTCGTGTGAATCTTATAATGATGTATTTCCCATTTTTCTAACTGCTAGGAAATTGAATATGAAGTTTAAAAGCGCAAAACCATAAATATTTGACTGAGACATAAAAAGTTATGTAGGAATCGAATGTTCGTACATGAAGAGTAACTATCTGTTCGATTGGGGTTTTTTTTATAGACACGTAACTTTTCTGGAGATAGAACACTTTACCATACATATGTTGTTTTAAAAATGTATCCTTATATTTCTATAAATAGGTAGGCCAAGGATTTTTTAACTATGTAATATACCCAATTCTGGACTGCTGGATTTTTTAAGAATTGCTCAAAGATTTGTATTTCCTCATATGTGGGATCCCTTATAATCACGATTATACAGTGTTTGGACTTCTCTATTTAAATGCAAATTGACTGCTGTACCCATATTTGAAATTTTTCAAATGTTTACCTGTTATGTCTGTTTGTTTTGTTCACACATTGTTGTCAGTATATTCGAATTTTATGCGAATGTCATACAAGTGAAAGGTTTAGCTAACTGTAAAACCAGGTTTAATCCACCATTTTCTACAGAAGGAAATGCCTGTACCAAGTCAGGAATATGACATTTGTTATCCATTCGTTTGATTTGTTTGAGCTTTTGATTTTGCCATTTGATTAGGAACTATCCGTTTTGAATTTTTTGTTCGATTTTTTGTTATTTTACTATTTAAAACATTTCAAATATAAGTAAACTCGCTTAAAAATCAAATATCCGAATGTATGTTTACAATGAGACAATTGTCCATTCAAGACTAAAACTGTAAAGGTCAATAAATGCAGCTGATTGTGTCCTTTTGTTCAGTGGCAAATATTTCATGAATATTCAGTCGAGAGTTATCTTAAGCACCTACCCCCCCCCCCCCCCCCCCTTCCCCCCAAAAAAAAAAGTTTTCCACGGTAGAATTTGTGGTGGTTCACATGATTAAAACAATGCTTTGTTTGTTGTTTTTTCTCCCATTATGGACCCCTGATCCTGAAGGATACTAAGGCATGCCCGATAAACACCTCAACTTAAAGACTTAATCCAGGTCAATAAGTTCGGGGTATTACAAGTAAACAAAAGATATTGTTTTAATATGAATTGAGATTAACCTATTAGGTATTCGACAATGATAAGTTCAATAAGAATACAAACTACACGAAAAGGTGTGTAAAGAAAACGAAAGTTGAAATATTTATTAGTATTTTTGTCATAGTTATATCATCATACTCTTAGAAGGTAGAATGGAAAACATCTAAACTTTCAAAAAATCGAATAAAATCTAAAAATTACCTATAATTTGAAATATTCTTTCCAGTCTGGTTTACCAGGAAGGTTGATTCACGTGACTTTTTTTCGTAACTGATAACCCGTGACTGTTTTAGAAACTTACTAACGCCGGGAGTTTTTAAATTCTTTTTCAGTATAATACACAATTAAGAGAATACGATAGGAGTGTAGTAAAAATAAACCGACGTAATTATTCTGCATATATTTTTTATTCAGCCGCTCCTTGCTATATCAACTTAACTGTTTCTAAATATTTCTTGGCACTGGCTACGGTTACCAACAAAAAGAAAGAATAAGAAATAATTATTGTTACTTCGGAGACTAATTACCGAAATGTATTTCCGGAGAGGGAACAAATTGCATACGGATATTGCAGGAAACAATAAAATATTTGTTATTAATACATACCTGCAATTATTGAGACCCGCAAAATTTTACATTTGCAAATTATGTTTTTTTTTCTTTTACCCCTCGGGTAACACACCTGTCGCCCTTAGACATGTACCCATGAATATGAAAAATATACGAAACTATATAGAAGAAAACGTCTGAACTTAAACTTGATGAACCCTTTACAGTTCACAGGTTCTTACTTTGTAAAATACCTAGCTTTTAGGATATGAAAATAACTATCTACCAGAAAAACTACGAATAATTTTACATAACATGCTGATTGACTAAAAGAGTTAACAATAAACCTAATTACTAAAAGTTCGAGCTTCTGCACGAGCTAATTCCCACTTCCGGTTTGACGGTAAAATCAGCTGAGAATAAAATGAATGAAAAATTAAAGACTTTGAACAAATATGGACCTAAAACTCTTATAATCAATGAAAGGAGACAATAATAAACACAGGTAAGAATTCTGATTAAATTCTGTTAACTTTGAGGCCAGAAATTTAGTCAAATTCATATTTATTACGAAAACTACATCGATGGCAAACCACAACTTTCACAATATCTGGAAGTTTAATCATGTTAATGTTTTCACATCATAATTTAATTAAGTAAATTTATTTCACAGATTAATCGCAAATCAAACATGTTTGATTTATTTTGCATGTAACAATAACCATGATAACTGCAGGTAACAATAAAAAATTATATTATTGTTTCCTGCAATTTCAGTATGATATTGGGTCCCTCTCCGGAAATTCATCTCGACAATTAGTCTGGGAAGTAACAATTATTATTTCTTATTGTTACTTTTTGCAGGTAACCGTAGCTAGTGCCTTATTTCTTTTTGCAGAAGGCTACGGCAAACTTAAAGAAAAGGAACGGTTTTTTTTTCTTTAAAATATCGTTATGGGTGAAAGTAAAAATTACAGACTGTTCAGAAAAATTATAGTTATGCTTTGCCATGTCATAAACAAGATTGTTTTCCCCAAGGCCACACCTATATTAATAACTCAACTGATATCAATTTATACAGGAGCTACTTGGGTTTCTGTCTCGTAAATGTTTACCCCTCATCTACAAATCGGTCACAACTATGGTTAAGCATTTTGTTACATGCCGCTCTGTTAATTATTTAATGCTATTGTACGTTTTCTAGTGAACCATTTGTTACTGTATAATATTTCAAGAACGTTTTTTCCATGACACACGGGATACAGGAACACGTTAATTAGTCAGAATGAGACCATATTTCACTGTGGGAAGTGAGTTTCAACCTAGGTATTCAATCTTGTAAAATAGGGATGTTCATAAAATTGAACAAAAATATAAATGAGATCCTTCTTCTAATAATTTTTTTTTCTCAACTATTATTGTCATCATTTTAGGTTGTCGATTTACTGAAGTCTTCAGAACCTATCATTTGAGGCTGCATTTGAAAGAAGGAGCTAAAACTAGGACACATATTTATATGTATATATATTTTTTTTCGTTTGAGCTTGTATTATATTTTCCTTCGGGTTCATATGATCCGTTCATCCTATTACGACTCTTTAAAATTCAAGAGTCTATCCTAAATTGAGGTAAATTATATGGCCTTCCAAATACCGTTTTAATCCCCAACATGACTGAAGAGACATTAATTGTCGAAATCCGGATATGGTGTACAAATGTTTGCACCTCATGTTTGCGGTATACCATCTTCTCCGCAAGTTTATTGTTTTCTGTTTGGTATTAAATTAAATATAAGATCCATGTTAATTCTGGTGATCAATTTATTTGGCAATCGTCAATGGCAGTCAGCAGGGTTTAAAAACATCAGTTGTTCGACCTGTTAGTATATATATACAAGTCTAAATTGAAAACAACGTTCAAACCTATGATTGTGTTGGATAAAAACCGTAATTTTCATATGTGTGCATGCAAAACAAGTTTCTTGGTAGAGGGGTCTAAATACAGCACAAACAACATTTTCCAAAAGACCAAAAAGTGAAAAGTATATTTTAACGAAACGCATTTGACTAGCAGGTCGAACAAAGGATGTTCTTAAACCCTGCTGACTGTCATTGGCGATTGCCAAATAAACGGATCACCAGATGTAACAAAAGATATCTTTATTATTAATTTAATACCAAACAGAAAACAATAAACTTGCGGAAAAGATGGTATACCGTAAACATGAGGTGCAAAAATTAGTACACCATATCCGGATTTCGACAATTGATGTCTCTTCAGTGATGTTAGGAATCGAAATGGTATTTGGAAGGCCATATAATTTACCTCAATTTAGGATAGACTCTTGAATTTTAAAGAGTCGTAATAGGATGAACGGATCATACAAACCCGAAGGCAAATATAATACAAGCCCACACGTATATATATTGTAATCCCGATGGATGCGATATAGCATAACTGTATACCTGACGTTTTCTTAGAATGACTGGATCTCTGTTTCACGTTTTTGGACTAAACAGAAAACCAGGAGTCGGTTTCACAAAAAAACTTACGACTAAGATTGATCGTAAGTCATGAACAATTCAGTATACTTACGATCAATCTAAGTCGTAAGTTTTTTTGTGAAACCGACTTCAGGCTCCTGACTTAGGACAGGTGCTTTAAATACAGCGGGTTTAAACGTCTTAACAAGCGCCAACCTTCACCCTAACCTGAAACAGTGGTATAACATTACAACATAAAGAGACACACAATAAAATATCAATTGAAATGGCTTAACTCGACCAATAACACAATACACAAAAACAAGTAAATATACACTGAACGAATAAGTTTGATCTATGACACAATATAAATAAAAAAGTTGTTTCAATGACTTTTACCTAGATAAAAAATGCGTTAAATAAAGTAACGTACACAAGTATAAATTTAAATATAATAATTTTGTTGTTAGGAGTACATGTTGTGAATAATATTTTTATTATAATTATATCTCAAAAGAGTGACTTGAATAGTTTCTATACTAACTAACGCAAAACAGAAACAAGACTTACAGTACGATTAATTAGTATACCACCGATTTATTAATTGCATTGTTGAGAAAGAAAATTATATTTCTTATCAATAGACGTAAAAGAATAAATATTAATCCAAAAACATTGTTCACATCTAATAGACTAAGTGTTTGAGATCTATACAAAACGTACGATTTGCATTGCTCCTTTGTATCTCCTCTCTATGTTTTATTCAATATTGTATAAACAAACTTCCCTCTATAGCGTACAGGGGTAAATTCAGTAAAAAATCTTCCATTGACTTTAATGCTAATCTATGTCTTGAATTACATTTATACCTGATTTACCTTTAGAAATTGGAAGCTTTCAAATATCATTCATGAAAGTACAAATGTAGCCCCATCTTTTGCAACAATAAAAACATAGGGTCATGCGGCATTTTTGGGCATTCACATGGCCTTGTTTACAAACACTGTAGATTCGCACTTAATTCCTTTACTGGTCCCCATTACTTTTCAACCCTGCAGTAAAAATAAATAGTACATTCAGCATTCATTTTTTTTTTTTTTAACTCTAGTTTTGATCCATCTATCAAAAAATATTAATTACAAACATTATCTACCAATCAGAAGAGCACAGGACTTCAGTTTTGTACAGAAAGCTCTCCCCCAAATGGACGGTCCCTGATGACGTATATTTATTTACTGAATTTACCCCTATACCAGAGATGATATATCATATAACCTAGAAGCTCTTCTTACTTTAACCTTGTCATTTCAATGATAAGTAATTTCTTATATTATTTATAGGCGTTACGATTAATTATTTTTCATTTCGGAAATAACAAGGTGCATTGTCGTCATTAAGGTTAAGATAAACATAACCTAAAATTTATTGTGGAAGTTTAATTTTGTAAACAGGCAAGGAAATAAAGTTGTATTGATGCTATAACATTTATCGGAAGACAATTCACATGTGTAAATTTGTATAACATGTAGGACACTAATTGAGAAAGGATGTTGAACAACAAACATGCCGGATAATATCATTTCATTAAATTAAAATTTACAAGTATTAAATTTCATTTTGCGTCATAATCGTGTATAAAATCTTGAAACAGAAAATAAGTTTTAAAGACTTAAACAGTCATACAGTAGTCGTTACATTAAGTCAATATGTAAGTACATTTAAAGTCATAAAATAATGGAAATTGAATGCAGATTTGAAAGTTTCAAAGGATAGCAAGTGATGTGCCTTATGTTGAACCAATAAGCAATTACGTTCTTCGTGAAAACTGTGCTACGCAATTTTCATTTTCACTCTTATAATTGTACAATCAATATAAATTGAATGAAAACAGCTGATAAGAATGAAAATGAAAATGTATCATTGGTACTGATTTAATTTCAATGAGTTCACTGATTGTGTTAAATGCATCGCTGGCAGCACAACTTCAAGACATATTCGTGATACTTCTGGTGATAGGATTATTTCCACTGGGAATTTAGCCATAAACAAAAGCACTTATTTAGAATAAATATGGATCAACTCTCGTTCTAGTTACAACTAAACAATTTTCAGAAGCGTTTACAAAGTTTAACAACATTGCTAGTTTCAGTGTCCAATAAGGGCCTGGTTTCCATAAAGGCATATTATGTTTACCAAACCGTTACATGTACTATCTAAACTTACCAAA